AAAAAAAAAACAACGGGGGGGGGGACAAGTACTTTTTAGCTTCAAGAACTTCATATATGCATATAGATATAGATATAGATTAATTTCTTATTTTCTACTTATCTCCATAATTTTTAATAGTCTCTATTGTTTTCTATATTCAAATTCATGGCTCTTTATCTCATCCAGTGAATTTTTCATGCTATACATTGTTCATTTTTGCATTCAGAAGTTTGGAGTAGCACTTTATAAATGCCACACATTTATTTCCTCAATATTTACATCCACTTCTCTAACTTCTGAGCATTAGGGGTATATTTATAATGACTATTCTATTTGTCTAATAACTCTATCATCTGTGTTTCTTCTGTGTTTGTTAAAAATTTTAATAGCATATATTAACTATACAAAGTAATGAATCACATAACATTTTCACACTTTAGTACAGTGTACTTTGATAGTAGCCCACTGAGTTCAGTTAGCGCTGAACATGTGCAGAAGGCTGTGGGGTCACCTACTGGAGCATGAGAGACCTACCAGAGAGCACATCCTCAAAAAACCATTATTCCCCTTCCCTGAACAACCATCATCTGCCTTTATTTTCTCAGCTAGGGGTGGAGCCTCGGAGCCCCTCCTGTGTCCATACTGGAATTTTGACTGCCTTCATTTTGTGCAGGTCTCCGTGCTGCTGTGAGTGCCTATGTGCTTAAACATTTTGAATGCAGAAGACAGAATTTCGTAGCACTCCTCAACATCTCTTGGCTCTTATGTTCTTTCCACCCACTCACCCAAAGAGTTCTCTGATCTTTGGATAGTGTTGTGATATATATGAACCATCTACTCCTGTACACTGAAAATATCTTATTCTCAGTACATTGACCAGTTATCAATCTCAGTATCAACTACTAACTGCTGTAAACTAAAAGCAAAAAAAAAAAAAAAAAAAAACGTTTCTCTGCCCACATTGAAAGCTGCACAAACCTATGGACATGAACATAAATATAAAGAAACTTTCTATTGCTGTGTTAAAACACTTTGACCAAAAGCAACATGGGAGGAG